ATAAAGCTACAGAAGATGCATGTTTTGGTGGTTTGGGGGTTACAATTTCTAGATCTGAAACAAGAGACTTGTGGACATTTGTGTTTTCATCTAGAAAGCCTAGCTAGTGTTTTCCCTTGATGATTTTGTGAGTTTGTCGCCTCACATGGATTAAACCGCTCATATCAAGGGGTTTGTCATGATTCAACTTCAATAGAGCATTTCATCGATGGATTTCGAAGATTTTGGGCTTGGAAGCTTTGAAGGAGTTCGAAGCAATTTAGTGTCGTAGGTTCGACTTGGGTTGTTGTGGATTCAATACTGGGCTAATCAATCCCGAGACGAAGATGTTGATGGAAGAGAGACACGAGAAGTGAAAGTCAATTCATGAGTGAATGTTGGGTAATTGCTTGTACTATTGTGTAATTTCATTATTTTTATAGTGGATTTAGGAATGGCAACAGGCTGGGCCGGGGCCGGGGACCACCCTTCCAGTCCCCGATCCCCGATGGTAGAAATTTCCCCGCCCCCGATCCCTGACGGGGAGCCTATCACCACTCCCACCCCTGACCCCTAACGGGGATCGGGTTTTCCCGACCCCGAAAATTCTTCGGTGAAAATATAAATAAATAAACAGATCTAAGCTCAAAATGTATATATATTCATCAACAACAATAACAACAACAACAATATATATTCATCAACAACAACAATCATTTGTTCATCATCATCATCAACAACAACACTCTCATTCAAAGAGAGAACGAACAGATCTAAGCTCAAAATGTAAAAAATAAAAAATAAAAAGTCTAACACATTCAGAGAGAGAGAGAGAGAGAGACGACGACGGAGGGACAAAACTCTGATGATGATGGGAGGAGGGACAACGGTAATGAAGCAGTTACACAGATCGTCGTGATAGAGAGAAGGGATAGCGGTGATGGAGGGACGACGGTGATCGGTGGTGATGAGATGAGGGAGATCGGCGGTGATGGGAGGTAAGAGATCAGCGTTGCGCAGAGAGAGAGAGAGAGAGAGAGAGGGAGAGTTAGAGGCTTAGACTTGAGAGAAATGAACGTAAGTATGTGAGAGAGGCACTGACTCAAACATATATATATATATATATAGAATATTCGGGGATAATTCGGGGACGGGGCAGGGGCGGGGCTGGGGGAACCTATCCCCGTCCCCGGCCCGAAAACTGTCGGGGATTCAATTTTTAATACCATCCCCGGCCCTATGGGGATAATTTTCGAGGAAAACCCGTTCCAATCGGGGTCGGGGGATCGGGTCTCCGTCGAGCCGGGTTCAAATTGTCATCCCTAAGTGGATTGTTTATTAATTTAGGGTTGGTTTGGATTCTCTCAAGTTAGTCATCCAACTTGATAGAACAATTTTGGTTTGGTGGGTCTGTTTTGGGATCTGTCTTGATAATTTAAACCACTCACTTTTTAAGATTCGTTGAACAAAAAATTTGTATAAAATATTAAGGTGATCTCACATCAATAGCTATATATTTGAAAAACATTTATATTACAAAAAAATAGATGATTATTCTTGAAATTATATTTGTTATTTATTTTTTTAAGACAAATGTGATTGAAACATATAGTTATCAATGTCCGATGATCTTTATTTTTTGCATGAATATTATACGGGAAAATCGGTCTAGGGTCCCTCTCCCACTTTTCATAATGGAAGAGATCCACAAAATTATTTTTTAATGTCTAAGGTCCCTAAACAATCACAAAGAAATTTGACCTTACCAAATCAAAACTCATCTTTCTCTCTCTCTCTCTCTAAACTTCTCCATTCTCATACCTATCCAGATCAACTCTTGTTCCTCACCCCTAACTTCATTCTCCAACCGATTGAGCTCCAGCTTCACCGGATCCGACCTTCAACGGCGTCGCCGAGAAACAAACAGTCAGGAGGAGACTCCAATTTCTCGAAACCAGATCCATGGCTGTGAATTATGAATCCTACTTTTCTTCCTTTGTTTAGTAATTTTTTAGAGTATTGAGAGTCCTATCCATTGATAAATTATTGTTGGGATTTTTTGTGATGTCCTTGTTGCCATGTGTTTTTGTCTGCAAATTTATTTGTTGTTTTTATTGCCAATGGCAGCATAAACTTTTATGCAGGCCTTAAATGTGTGTATATATATATGGGTAAGTTTTAAGCAAGCCTTGAATTTTACATAGTTTTCTGTTTAACTGAAATTCTGAGATGGGTTTGCAGGATTCTGGATAATCTTCCAGTCGCTATTCTGAGACAAAGGAGGGATGGCAGTCCGTCAACCACTTATGAACATGGTTTCCGTGTGGGGTTCAAAGGAAATTATGCAGGGGTGAGTAGCGATAGACAACTGCTGCTGTAGTGTTCTTTTGTTAACACGTATTTTTTAATTTTTTTTTTTGGGTATGCTTTTACAGAGCAAAGAGGAGAAGTATTTTATAAATAACCACTTGAGCTTTAGAGTCATGTATCACAAGGATCTTGAGACTGATTCCGCTCGAATTGTTAGCTTTGAGAGAATTTCTGTAGAAAGGTTTGTCTGGGAATTTCTTTGGGTTAGGGAATTTCTCTGGGTATCTGTCTATGAGCGTGTTCTGGTTAGCTCCTCAATTCATCATTCTTGGGATTGGAGATGGGTTTACACTTGTTGGCTTACAAGAGTACTTCTATGATCAAGTACCAAATTCAATGAATTTGTGTATGTACGTGTGGTATATATATGGTGTGTGTTTGGAGTAGTGAATTGAATTTTTTTTTTCATTTGAACTGAATTTTCTCTGGGTTGAAACCAGAGAAATTCTCTGGTTTTTTAATTGAATTTTCTCTGGGAGCAACCAAGAATCAAATTTTCTCTGTACTCTGTTTTCTCTCTCTCTCTCTCTCTAATTTTATAAACACACTTGTGTGCTTGTTTTTATGGAATTTGATCTCGTATTGTCATAATCAATTCAGTGGGTATGACAGTGAATGAGAGTGAGAGTGGAGGCAATGGTTCATGGTTGATAAATTCCAAAGTCAGAGAAATTTGGTGAAAACACATTTTCTCTGACAGTGTCCATGAAAGGCTAAGGAGGCCAGAGAAATTCAAAATTTCTCTGGACCAATTTTCTCTGACTTGAATTTTCTCTGGATCAATTTTCTCTGGATTGATGTTGAGGGACCTCAGACATCATGAAAATATTTGATGTCCTTTATACTATAAAATCATAATATCAGGGACCTTAAAAAAAATACCCCATATTATACTCAATAAGTCTTAAAAAAGTGAACATTTTACATTATTGAAATTGACTCAAATCTAGCTCAGTCAAACCAATAACTCTCTCAAATTGAGCGGCCAACTTGAGAGAATCCAACCCCCTTAATTTATTTATTATATTGATTGAGAAGGGAAGGTTTGCACCAATGAACATCTTATAAGAAACTTCCTTCTTCAATTCTCTCATTACTCATCTGTCCATCCCTTTCTTCAATAATGATGTACATATTTTGAAAGGTTTTCACAAAGAATAATGTTATATATATATATATATATATTTGTAGAAAAAATTCATGCAATATGATATGTCATTTTTTAATCCTATTGTTTCAGGCAAGAAACACCTAATGGTAGTTTATAATTGCAAAAATATCATATCATATTATATTAGTTTTTAGTTTTATTCATAAAAATTAAGTTTTTGAATCATTTTCTATTTTTAATAATATAGTTAAAGCTTATATAGTTGATTATTTTTTGATTGAAGGAGGCCCAATCCTGTAAGAAATTCAAAATATCATTTTTGCGGATGTGTTATTATGGGTAATAATATTAAATCTATTAATTTTAGAAAATCAAAAAATGCTATGAAAATTAAATGGAAAATGAGAAATCACTCATGATGAGTAAGAATGATTTACTAGGACTTGAAATATATAAAACCCTTAATAGTAGATTAAATTATTAATTATTTTATATATATCAGATTATTTCTTCGTTTCACAATTTTTCAAAACAAAAACAATTTTATAAACCTTTTCTCAGTACTAATCTAATCCTACCTTTCATCATTAAAAACAAACCAGACATTATATATGTCAATCAAACTGGGCCTTAGTCATTTCATTCTCTAATGTTTGTAGTGTGTATACTAATATAATTATAAAAAATAGATAAATAACTTTGAGGAGATAAATAGGGCAGTCTGATAATTTCAAGTCTATAGTGTTGATTTCGGATCACTTATACTTATTTTCTGTCCCATTCATAATTTCAAGATTGATGAAGTGGCAACCTGAGATGAACAAGACAGAAGATGGATACAAAAGAATGAGTACAGGAGAACTGAAGGCCATAGTACCAAAGAATCAACACGGATTTTTTTATTTAGTCAAGCTTGCTATTGACATAAAGCACCAAAATAAGAACAGTATTGTGGGTCCTTTATTTAGGCACTGTTTGGAAAATGGCCAAATCATTTATTAAAAAAAAAACTTTTTAAATCATATTTGATTATGAATTTAAATAGTGATTTAAAAAAGAAAATGAAAATGTGAGAAAGTGGATAAAAAATTTAGCTTATATTTTATTTATATTTGTCTTTCTCTTTTCAAATTCCTTTACCAATTCATGATTCAAACGCAATTTTATTCATAATACAATTATGATTACATTTGTTTACCAAAAATTATATATCACGTCATATGTTAGCATTATATTATTAGTAATAAAAATGAGCAAGTGTTGGGACTCACTACTTCAAGAACGCTATGCTGACTACTAATTATATTTATTTATTAAAAGTAATTTATCATCTTATATATTATCTTTATATTAGTAATAAAATTGACCGAGTGATGGAGTCCAGTAAACTAATACAAAGATAATATGTGAGACTATACAATGACAATTTTCGGTTTATATTTTTTTATTATTGATTTATTATTAAGTTATAAAAAGTAGAGTGCATAAAGAAGAAGCATCATATCCAATTCCCTCTCTACCACCCAATACTGGTGTAAGAATGGGTTTCTTACTATCCAATTATCAACTCACAATATGTATCCTATATTCCCTAATTTTCTGCTCTTCTTCTTCTGCACATCTTTGCCATGATGACGAGAGCACTGCTTTGCTCCAATTTAAGCAACTCTTTGCCTTCAATTGCTCTGCTTGCGATTTCTCTTTTTTTTCTGCTCCACTCACTGATAATTGGAAAGAGGGTACAGATTGTTGTGCATGGGATGGGGTCACATGTGATAACACCACTTCTCATGTCATTGGCCTCGTCCTCCGTTCTAACTGCCTATATGGTACCATTCATCCAAACAGCAGCCTCTTCAATCTTGTTCACCTTCAACACCTCGACCTTTCTTACAACAACTTCAATCACTCTCAAATTTTACCTTCATTTGGCCGTTTCACAAATTTGACCCATCTTTACCTCTCTTACTCCTATCTTTCTGGCCCAATACAATCATCAGAAGAAGAAGTTTGGCAAGGGAATAACTTCTCCAATAGCATTTTCCACTTACAGAAATTGCAGGAGCTGCGGTTAGGCGGTAACAGAGAACTCACAGGTAAACTTGCAAGTTTTATTAATGGAACTCTCCGGCACCTTAGGTCGTTGGATCTCTCTGGAATGGATTTCACAGGAGAGCTACCTAATTCCATCGGCCAACTTGAGTACTTGGAGGAGCTACACCTCTCTGACTGTAATCTCTTCGGTACCATTCCAACATCGCTTGGAAACCTCACGCGATTAAGAACTTTAAGTCTTTCAAGGAATAATATAAATAATGGTCAATTCCCATCTTCAATCGGCCATCTTAAAAACTTGGAGTACCTATACCTCTTTCACTGTAATTTCTCTGGTACAATTCCGAGATTGCTTACAAACCTCACGCGATTAACTGTGCTTAATATTTCATACAACAATTTTGAAGGCCCAATTCCTCAATTTTTTTCCAACTTCTCGCAACTTCTAACTATAGATTTCTCAAACAATCAACTAACAGGCCTCATTCCATCGTCATCACCTTCTTCCTTGTTTCATCTTGTGAACCTTGCCGAACTTGATCTTTCGTCAAATAATTTAAGCGACACTGTAGAGCTGGACACGTTTGCAAAGCTTGAATATTTGAAGTACTTGGATCTTTCAAACAGTGGTCTATCATTGACCACCACCAACTCCACTCCCTCCTCTTTCCGAAACATTTGGAAATTACGATTGTCATCTTGCAACATAAATAAAATTCCTGAATTTTTGAAAACACCAACGGAATCATTGCGGATGCTAGACCTTTCGAACAACCACCTAAATGAAGAACTCAATCCACTCTGTAATCTTCGTTCTCTTGAATATCTCGATCTGTCCAATAACCAATTTGGCGGATTAATCCCTACTTGTTTGGGAAACTTCAGTGAATTATTAACCGTGTTAAACTTGCAGAGTAACAATTTCAGTGGGACCATCCCTGAAACTTTTGGATATGCAAGCTTGTTGCAAGAACTTGACATTAGCAACAATGGATTGCAAGGGGTGCTTCCAAGATCATTGGCGAATTGCGCAAACCTAGAAATTTTGAATCTGGGTCATAATTTCATAGAAGATGCTTTTCCATTTTGGTTGGAGAACCTGCCCCAATTGAAGGTTATTGTCTTGCGAGATAATAAATTCCATGGTCTGATAGGGCAACCAAGGAAGAGATTAGCCTTCGCCAATTTGCATATCATTGACGTGTCTCACAATGATTTTACAGGACCTTTGCCATCAAAATACTTTGAGAGCATGCATTCAATGATGATGGATAATGAAGACAAATCCTTCTTAAATTATATGCACAATGATTATGGTTATTATTCGGTAACCGTAATGAATAAAGGACTGGAAATGGAACTTGTAAGGATCATCACCATCTTCAAAGCTGTTGATTTCTCGCACAACAAGTTTCATGGAAATATTCCAATATCCATTGGAAGACTTAAAGCCCTTTGTGTCCTAAATTTTTCGGGTAATGGCCTCACAGGTCTCATTCCAGTGTCCTTGGGGGATCTAACTAAGCTTGAGTCCTTGGATCTATCCCAAAACAAACTCTCTGGAGAGATTCCTCAGCAACTAACTAAATTGACATTCCTTGAATTTCTTAATTTCTCACAAAACAATCTAACAGGACTTATACCACGAGGTGGGCAATTCGAAACATTTTTAAACACTTCATATGAGGAAAATCTAGGCTTGTGCGGGTTTCCATTGTCAAAGAATTATGAGAATGTCCCAATAGCCGAATCACCAACTTTACCATCCTCATTTAGCCATAATTTTAAGTTCAAATTTGATGGCTTTGGTTGGGAAGCTGTGTTGATGGGATATGGGTGTGGAGTATTGCTTGGTTTGTTGATTGGAAGTTACATTATTCGAAGGAAAGAAGAATGGCTAGTGAGGATTTTTGGTGTAAAAATGCGTCAACATAGGAAGAGATCAAAGAAGGTTTGGAAGAAGAAAGCTCCTACAAAGTCAATTATAAATTGTTTGTAGTAAATATATTGTCTATTCTAATAAATTGGAAAAATACTTGAAGGCCGCAATGCAAGGTAAAGCTATAGCGCAATTTCCTCACTGTGTCTTCTTTTGCCAATGCAAGTATTGGTTTGTAATCTCCAATGAATGACAACATGTGGAATAAACATCACTGCAGGAAATCTGAGTTTTAGCGGCGTTTTAAAAACGCCGCTAAAAGCCTGAAAAACGCCGTAAAAACTTAAAGCGACGTTTAATATTTTCGTTGTTGATACGGCCGCCGCTATATCTTTGCAACGTTCAAAAAACGTCGATAAAAATATTAGACGGCGTTTTTTAAAACGCCGCAAAATATTTAACGTCCATCTCACAAACTAACACAAACTAACGTGTGACGTCATTTAGTGGCGTTTTTCAAACAACGCCACTTTCCCCCCCAAACTAACGTGTGACGTCACGATGACGTCATTTAGCGGCGTTTTTCAAAAAACGCCACTTTCCCCCCCCTTCTCTCATGCGCTGCTACGAGAATATAAAATAAAATACCCTTTTCTTTTTTTTTTTCTGTGCTGCTGTAGGAATATGGAATAAAATACCAAATTTTATTTTATTTTATTTTTTGTGTTACTGCTGCTGCAAGAATATGAAATAAAATACCAAAGTTGGCATTCTCTGTGACCATATATAGTTGCTGTAAAATAAATATTATTGTGCACTACAAAGTTCATACTACAATTTTGGAAACAGGGTATAAACCAAAGAATTTAACTAATTGCACATTTCATGAGATTTTTACTACACAAAATATATCACATTGATCTTCCAAAGTATATCACATAATAAAGATATTAAAAAGCCTTTCTTGAATGACAAACTACAACTGTCATTATCTGCAAAACAGAGACAGTTTATTACAGAAAACCGATATGAGTCCTTGTGATGTTGCAGAGAACTTGATACCAAAGACTGCTTCAAAAGAGACTTGCTTAAACGAACTGATTGAAGCTCTCAACAAAGCCAAGGAAAGCACAAAGTTGAAAACTGAGAAAGAAGCAAAAAACAAAAAGTTATCATCAAAAGCAGCTAAAAAATACAGTCATGTATGGATGCAGATGATTGGAGGGCTAAGCAAGGAAAAATAAAAGAAACAATGATGGTAGATGGTAGGATTGCATGTTTTTCTTGTTCCTTACCTCTAAAAATAAGAGAGTATAAAAGTTGTTTAACTAATGTAATGATGTAGCTCATAAGCTAACACGTTTATTAAGATGCATAATATCTACATGAGGGTTTTGAATAACTTCGAAAAATACAGGTAATGTCACCTAGTGACAGCTACTATTACATAATGAACTTAATTTAAGAAAAGAGGTAAAACTTTGAAAAGGGAAAAAGAAAAGGAAAGGACAATGTGAATTAAATATAAACTCCCTTTTTTTCTTTTTCTTTTTTCTATTTCCCTTTCTTTTTGCAAATTTTTGCAAATCCTGTCCAAATCCATCCAAAACCAACATAAGGTTTTTCCCTCTTTCCTCCTACCCCATTCATTGGGTTGTAGGTATTTTGACCAAAATATTTGTATCTTTTTATGAAATATATCAAATAAAATTGTTATTCATTGATAATCATGCAGCAAAGTACATTCGTTTTCATACCATCTCTCTCTTTTCTTTTCTTTTTTTTCCACTACTGATCCAATAGAAACATCTTCATTTTGACCCCTTAATTCTTTGAAATGGATGGTTTTATAGAGTTCAACAAACCCTCCAATCTTCATTTTCCCATCAGACACTTTTCTAACAGGGGCTACATTTGAGTGCAGCTATTCAATCTTAAAGTGTAAGGAAACGGCCTTACCAATTGAATCTCTTCTCAAAGCTATTAAATCAGCACAACTGCAAAAAAAAACATTCAGTCATGGTTATTTCTACTGAAGTGAAGATTGGAGAAAATAGCTACATAAATGCAATACAAAGATTTTAATCAATATGACATTCTCTATCTTGAGAGGAATTTGCATCTGTAAACAAAGGAAAACAAATTCTATACATAACAGATACAACCTAAAATTTGTGAGAAATTTCCTGTTACATTTATGTGCAATTTCTATTTTATGTGCCATACCATAGGCCCTGTGAATAAATAAATAAAATGATTTGATTATCAATACTAGTTAATGCCACACGGATGTGTTTCATACATTTTCTTCTCAAATTCTAGGCAAAAAGAACACAGCTGAATTCAGGTTGCATTCATATTTGTATCTTACACCCTTTGACAAGCAAAGGGTCTGTGTGTGTGTGCTTTTACCATTTTTTGTTCTTCCTGTTTGCCTGGTTTTTTTCATTTTTTGGTTATGTATCAATACTTCATCTCCATCATGCTACAATAACCGGGTCTATATATCCAAGTAAACATGAAGCAACATATGTCCCCTTTGAGCATGTCACCCGGAAAATCAAATTTTGTTTGCAATAAATAAGACAAACTTACAAAAACAACAAGATTATTGCTACTTGATAGTATGCAATATATCAACTTCATCAGTCAATGTCCATTGTTAGTTCATATAGACACTTTTCCTAATATGCATAAACCATACACATAAATTATATCTATGTTTCCCACTAATGAGGGAAAGGTTCTCAAAAGTTCCTGAATATTAATTTATTTCATTTTCAAATTGCGTTTGATCTAATTTTCAAAGGGTAATCACCAATGTGAAATTATTTGAGCACAATTAGCATGATATTTATTTGTTTTTATCACTGAAAGAAAGAATTGCAATGATTCAAAATAAGATCCATCTCAGGATAGCAGAACCACCATATAAAAAACCATGTGATAAATAGGTTATACAGAAGCAACAAGCTTAAGCTTCAGACAACCTGTCATCTAAATTTTGCTCAATATCAAAATGGAAAATTGAAATCCACCTCGGTGAAAATCCAATGCTTTCTCCTTTTCTTGCTTTTTCATACATCTTCTCACCCCCAACCTATCACAAGATGTAGAAACATATAAGCAATCATACAACCACACAATGCCATTTCAATACCATATCATTGTCACACATAATTCTAAGGAACGTGAAGGAAAATATGAATTATATATCTTACAAGCAATAGATACAACCTAAAATTTGTGAGAAATTTCCTGTTACATTTATGTGCAATTTCTATTTTATGTGCCATACCATAGGCCCTGTGAATAAATAAATAAAATGATTTGATTATCAATACTAATTAATGCCACACGGATGTGTTTCATACATTTTCTTCTCAAATTCTAGGCAAAAAGAACACAGCTGAATTCAGGTTGCATTCATATTTGTATCTTACACCCTTTGACAAGCAAAGGGTCTGTGTGTGTGTGCTTTTACCATTTTTTGTTCTTCCTGTTTGCCTGGTTTTTTTTCATTTTTTGGTTATGTATCAATACTTCATCTCCATCATGCTACAATAACCGGGTCTATATATCCAAGTAAACATGAAGCAAAGCAATATAAAAAAAAATTCTGTTCTTCTCTGTTTTACACTGCCACTGGCAATGCATTTTGACTTTAGTGCATATCTAGTTTCAAAATGGTAGTGTGCATGCTCCCACCCTTGTGATGTTGCGTCCAAAAGGTTTACAACTCGTTCATGTAACATAAAGTCAAACTTAAGTAACTAACCTATATGTAACTTTACTTAACTGAACTGCGCTATAGGCAACCATCTACATCCAAATATTGTCAAAGTTCAATTATATTCTTTTGGTTTTAATACAATATAATATGCAATTGATGCCAAAATTTAGTCTCAAATGAAGTAACTTAGCTAAATGTAACCTCACTACAACCATATGCACTATGCATGATCATCAACATCAAAATACTATACAAGCAATGCCAAAATTGAGCCAATATGAAATCAACACAAAAGCCGAAGAAGAAAGTTATAGCTCAAAAAATTTGATGTGCGAATTTCTGGCATTTTTCACACTTCTTTACATATTTCTCTGAGTCTGCCTGCATATATGGCCACCAATAACCTTGTGAAATGGCCCTGTAAGCTAGCGACCTTCCCCCTTGATGGCTTCCGCACACTCCTTCAT